GCTCAATGGTAGAGCGTTGGCTGCGGCAGTCGAACCCACACAGCAGTCTCACACACAGAAGTCTCCTAAAGATGCAGTTTTTTTAAGAGAGTTGTCAAAAGTTAGACTGGAGTGTTTGAAACATAGTCAGTCTTTTTAGGGCTTCATTCGCGCAGCTTAAGCAGAACTATTACATAGTCAATATTTCCTATCGTAACTGACAGGACAATGGGTTCGTGGCTCAGTGCTGGAGCGTTCGATTTTATGATCAAAGAGCGAGGTCTGAATCCCGGATGTCCCAAACCTGGGATTGGGTATCGCTGGCTGATGAGGTAGAACTGGCTATTCCAATTTTCTTGTCTTTGTCAGTACTATTTATAGAATTATGCATTAATGGACGATAACTATCAGCGAACTGTAGCCTTCCGAACGCCCTCATTATCGCTAATATGCCTAGTCTAGAACCACTTTTGCCAGTTGGGTTGCAGGAATTCATCAAGAATCACAGTCTTCTAGTCCTTCAATCAGTCTTGTTTTTTGCCACATTCTTCAATCCTTACTGTTTATTTAACCAAATGCGTGTTGACTTGATCTCACTGTAACATAGAGTTGACATACCTGTCTGCTCACGGCTTCAATAGAAGAACTGCGACTATCGAAGATCTTTTCTTTCTTACCCATGTGCCTGTTTTAAATCCGTATTCAGTCCCCCGGCGTTCACAAGGAACTTCAGGTCTCCGAGTTCCAGGCCCTCGTTCTCCTCCAGTTCAACGGTCCTGTGAACGTGCCCGTCTCCTATGCCGCTATCGCAGAGGCTACGGCAATTGAGAAGACGCAACTGGATCGGACTCTACTTTCCCTGGCTGCCGGCAAAGGCCAGAAAGTGCTAATAATGAAACCCCTGGTGCGTCCTCGTTTTGGCATCTTATCTTTATCTTAGGCCGACTGCGTTGCAGAATTCGAGGGTGGCTGTTAACATTGTGGTTGCAATCATTCCAGTCACGATTAGCAACTTGACCGTTTTCTTTATTTTTTATGATATTATTCAAAAGTAGCCAACCACAAGGCGTTCTGTCATTACAGTCGACAGCACTGAACAAGACTGGAAGTTTTTAAAAAGACTGAACCCCATGAATGCTACTTAATGGCGGCGATCATCATCCATGAAAATGGCTTTGCATGTTCATTTTGTTGTCGTCACGATGAGTTCCTGGTTGTCAACGTTCCCAACACGAACCTGGAGTGCGCGTTCAAAGTGAAGATATATCGACCTGGATCGGTAGATAACGACATGAGTTCCCTTAACCTAGAAAATCCATTTTCTTTCATTCCTTGCTATACAGCCTGCGCTCGCGTTATCTCAAGCCTCATTACGTCTGTTTCTGCTGCAGCTTGGAGCACTTAAGCATCTCGTACTGCTATTATCCGCCATCCTGGGTAGATTTCAACGCTCTTGCCTTTGTCCTTAAGTGGGAGCCTACCTGCCAAGATGGTGTTGCTGTGGCGCGTATTGGAGTGTGTTCGCGCACACAGCCTGCGTCCTCCCCCATTTCTCCGGTCTTCTCGACTATTGTCCTGACATCGGATACAGGTGTGGGAGAGGTGAGAGCGTGGGGTAGATCCGGCGAGATGAACACCCTCCAACCAGTTGGCTGGAAACAGTGACCATCCAATCGTACACTCGGTGCAGATTCTGTATTGCCCCGGCTGATGTTAACATTGTTCCTGTCAACTTCACTAACTCTCTAGCTACCCTTGCCACCCTATTAATCTTGGTGTAAAGGAGAGGTTTACAGCTGGA